AGAAGGCTAGGATATGTTCTCTCTTGAAAGTCACCATCTCAAATATAAAAGAGAAGAAAACAGTTTTCAGTTCAAAGTGATTTCTATTTGAACTTCCACGTAATAAAGAAAGAGCACCTCAGCACCCAGCCCCCTCCATCTAGAGGTGTAAATCAGAGTTTCAGGGTGAAATATTGCCCCAAGGATCAATCATGCTTCCCTTGTAGGCTGGGGGAAGTAACAGCCTGCCTTTTCTCACATTTTCCCTTTATTTCCCAGTTCTTCACCAGAGTTGCCATCGGGGGTCCTTCCTGAAGTTCAGAGACAAGAATTACATAAAGATGTGAGAGGAAGCAGTAAGGTAAGTAGCTTTGACTTCCCAACTCATTTACTCACCCTGAAATATGGCTTCTGACCTCAGCACTCAACCGTAACTACTGTCAGTCAGTCAACAAATATTTCTTAAATGCTTATCATGAGCCAGCCACTATAATAAACCCCGGAGATGAAAAAAAATTGCACTCCAAAGTGACCAATGATCTCTAAATCCAGTGTACTTTTACTAGTCCTTATCTTTCTTGACTTCTCTGCAGTATTGACTATCCCCTCCTGATGAAAATGCCTCCCTACGTTTTTCTCGCATTATTCTCTCCTAGTGTTACTAGTTTCCTGGCTTCTCCTCAATTGCCTTGCTGGATCAGCATCCATATCCTGCCCTGTAGCCTTGGGTATAATTCTAAGCTCTGCCTTTCTTTTAGCCTCTCTCTCTGTGTCTCTCTTTTTCTCTCTTTCCCCTCTTTCTCCCCTCTTCTGCCCCCCTTCCTTAATGGGCAGCTAGGAGTGGATAGAGAGTTGGACCTGGAGTCAGGAAGACTTGAGTTCAAATCCTGCCCCAGATACTAACAGTGTGACCATGGGCAAGTCCCTTAGCCTCTCCCAGCCCCAGTTACCTCATCAGTAAAAATAGGGATGATAATAATAATAATAATAATAACACCTATTTCCTAGGGTTGCTGTTGAAGTTCAAATGAGATAACATATTTAAAGTACTTTGCAAACCTCAAAGTCCTATATAAATGCTAGTTACTATTACTACAACTACTCCTACTGTTACTACTACTATTATAACTACAACTACTACTACTTTTACTACTACTACTACTACTACATGACCACTACCACCCCCCCCACTACTACACAACTACTACCACTACCACCACCACTACTACTGCTGCTGCTGCTGCTGCTACTACTACTACTACCACTGATCTAATTAGCTCTCATGGGTTTAGTTATCATTTCCACATATGTGACATTCAAACCTACATAATCAGTCCAACTTCACCAACTATCTCTTGGACAACTTCAAATGAGCGCTTTGTAGGCATCTCAAACTGAATGTGTACAAAACAAGGATAATCTTGCTTCCTAAACTCACTCTATCTCTATGTTTCTGTTGAGACTATCACCATTTTCCCAGCCACCCAGGTCTGTAAGTTGCCCTAGACTTTTCTCTCTCTCTTACCCTCCATATGCAATCAGCTGACAAGTCTTGTTGATTCTACCTTCATGATATTTCTAGCATTTATCCCCATCTCTCCCTTCACCTGGTCACTACCCTAGTCCCTCATCACTTTTCCCCTGGCCTATTTCAGCAGCATCTTAATGGACTCCCTGTTTCCAGTCTTTTTCCTTCTCCAAAAAAATCTTCCATACCATCATCAAAATAGTCTTCTCCAAAGCACCCATCTGATTGTGCCATTCCCCTACTCAAGAATCTTAATGGTTCCCTATTGCCTCTAGCAAAAAATTAAAACTTATTAACTTGGCAATTAATGTCCTTCACAGTCTGACTCCAGATTATCTTTCTACACTTATTTCATATTATTCCCCATAACACATTCAATGATCTGACCAAACTGTCCTGCTTTCTGTTCTCTCTACTTCCTATTGCACAAAACAGTCTGCAGGCCTAACATACATTCTCTCTTCCCCACCACTTCTTCCAAAGCCTAACTTCCTTCGAGGCTCTGCTCAGGTCACAGAAGCTTTTCCTGATACATGTCATCTTTGTGTTCCTTTGTTCCTTCCTTCCTCAAATCATGCATATATTTAACAGTTTCTATTATGCTTTATTCCAAGGATTATTTTCCTTTTTGTATTTCTATCCCCAGGGCCAAGCATGTAACAGAGACTTAATAAATGCCTGTTGGATTGGATTAGATTTTGTTTATTTTGTTTTTATGGTGCTTGAACAAGTATTTTTCACTGTAGCCTGCAGCAGATTCTTCCTGTTGCATTCAAAGTCTTCTTGGATCTCAGACTTAAATAAATAGGAGAGGGTGATGAGAGAAAGTGTTCTTTGCTGCATAAAACATCCCTTTTCTGTGGACAAGAAGGTCTTAATCTCTAAGGCTGACAACACAGGACCTCTTCAAAAAATTGAATGTGAGGGGCAGCGAGGTGGTGCAGTGGATAGAGCACTGGCCCTGAAGTCAGGAGGACCTAAGTTCAAATCCGACCTCAGACCAAACACTTGACACGTACTAGCTGTGTGACCTTGGGCAAGTCACTTAACCCCGATTGCCTCACTAAAAAAAAAAAAAAAATCGAATGTGCTTGAAAGTTAAAAGTTTCTGTCTAGAGCTTCTCTGAATTGTACATAAAATCATTTTCCCACTCCAAGCACATGCTCCCCAAGAAGACACTCAAAAGCTTAGCCTTCTTATAAAAAAATAGTGTTGGGTAGAGAGAAGTGTACTTAGGTATTTGTTTATCTAGTTATTCATTCATTTATTTGTTCATTTATCCATTTGTGTATGTATGTATATAAAATTAAAGGAGACCAAAAATGGGGGAAAACCTGGGAAATAAGTAGAAAAGATGAATGCAATAAAAAACCAGGCTTAAAGGCCTGGTCATTTTCCATGCCTTTAACTACAATAACACTCAAACACACAAATCAGTGGTTTGTAAAGTTAATTTGAGTAATAACCCAACCTAAAATCTGGCTTTTATTTTATTTTTTGGTTTTTTTTGGTTTGGTTTTTTTTTTTGGTGAGGCAATCGGGGTTAAGTGACTTGCGCAGAGTCACACAGCTAGTAAGTGTCAAGTGTCTAAGGCCGCATTTGAACTCAGGTCCTCCTGACTCCAAGGCTGGAACTTTTACCCACTGTGCCATCTAGCTGCCCCCTGGCTGTTTATTTTGTTGACAATTCTTATTTATGTAAAATAAAGGATGTGACCCCTTTAAAATGCACATATATGTATCTATATACAAATGTGTGCATATGCATACACATATCCATGTACATGTATATACATATATGCAAGTTGCCATAGAGAAAGGAATAGATATTTGCAGGTCTGAGATCCTTCTGCCCTTCTAATTCGGCTCAATTTCTTCATTGGGTCATGGCTCTAAAGATCTTATTCAGAGAAATGGTGTACTCTTAACAAAGGGGAATTTGAGGTAATAATATGGGACCTTGCCAAGTGTGATTTCCAAGCACAAAGTTAGCATTCGTCTCAACTTTAACGTGTCTGGTGCTTTTGGTGCAAATAAGACCTTTCTCCTGCTCTCATCATGAATTATGCATTGGATTCTTAGTCCTATGGCCCAAGTCATATTTCAAAAAATAAGATCAGAATTAATGTGAACTCAAGGGCTTGTTTTCATGAATAGGGCCCCTGTATGTTAGCATTTGCAAATTTAAGGACTGGGAAAGGATAAACATTCACTACACAGTTTGTATGTAATTTGGATTTGATTATTTTCCAGCCCTTCACGCATTATAAAAGGGGATAACATTATTAGGAAAATAATAGCCTCTGTAAAATTGGTTTTGAATATATTCTCACACAACTGTAATAAGTATAAATGCCCTAGTACTTTTCTAGAAACTCTCACATTTTCATTAAAAATACAATAGTTCATCATTACACTCACAGTCCAGTTACAAGCTTCCTAATTTTTAAATGATGTTTAATTTCTTAGAGTACACAAGGCACCTCACAGGCTAAAGAGGAAGTTGTTTCACTTGCAAATTTTCAGCCGTGGACTAAGTTTTTTTTCAAATATTTTAAGATGAAAATTTGCTGTCATGCAGAATTGGAATGCAAAAAGCAGATAGTCACTGTTGGGAGTTGGGGGGGAAAAGGCTTTTGTCACCATATCCAAGGTACAACTGGACCCCTCTGAAGTTAAAGACTTCATTTTTACCATCTCTATTTTGTACTGCTGTAGAAACTTGTAAATAGCAATAAGATCTACCTACGATCAATAAAAAGGAATTATTTTGTGTACTAAACCTTGACAAATGGGCAGATTATCCCACGATCCATCGCTGCGACATGTCGACACCATGTTGTACAAGTCAGGATATCGAATCTTGAATCCTTCATGACAGCTGATTATCAACTTGTCCCCATGTTTGTATGTCTTATTACCAATATCAGCATCTTCAATGTAAGGAAGGCGGCAATCTGGACCTTTAAAAAACAAAAACAAAAACAAAAACCAAACCAGGAAATTCAAAAGCAGCATGGACATCCACATTTGCAGGGTAAAAAACTGTTCTGGCAATGAATAACAGAGTCTGCTTACTAGGACTTACAGTTTAGAGGCACTTAGAGGGATGCTACAGGAGAGATGATGGAATGAATATACCAAAGGAACTGGGCTTGTTGCCTGGAACATTTCACAAAGAACAAGTGGGTTTTTAGGAGCTTTGAGAAAGAGATGAAGAAAGGCAGAAATTAAGGGTAACCTATCTGGTGTTTCTTTCTTTTTCCTGTAAATTTACTATTTATGCTATACACATCACAAAATATAGTTTGATTAACTAACACCCATCGCCACTTCGCTACCACCCCCAATCCACACTGAGTCTGCAGTGCGGTGCGTGAGACTGATAAGGACATATGCTCCTAGGCTTTGCAGAACAGCAGGTGGATGAGGCCTGTGGTAGAGTTTGCTATTAGCATCTCATTCCAGTCCAGTCTAAGAAAGAAAGGTGGATTGCTCTCTTCAGCAGCACACAGACTAAAATGGGAACAATACAGAGAAGATTAGCAGGGCTCCTGCACAAAAATGACGCATAAACTCAGGAAGCATTCCATATTTTTAGACGGGCTGCAGGAAAACAGGTACATTCATTCATTTTTGGTGGAGCTGTGAATCAGTCCAGCCATTCTGAAAAGCAATTTGTAACTGTGTTCCTCTACCCCCACACACATCCTCATTTACTAAAACCATGCAAACCTTTTGACCCAGTGTTACCACTACTAGGAATATACCTCCAAAGAGATCAAAGAGAAGTATAAAGTTTTCCATATGTACAAAAATACTAATATAAATACTAAAAATGTACCAAAATGTTACCAAATATGTAAAAAAAACTATTACTGGTAGCTCTTTTTGTGGTAACAGAACTGAAAATGAAGGGAATACCTATCAATTGAGAAACAGCTTAACAAATTTATTTGCTTATTCATTCATTCATTTAAAATAAAATGGGGAAAGACCTGGGAGATAAGCAAAAAAAGATGAATGTAAGGAACAGAGAGGTTTAAAGGACTGGTCATTTCCCATGTGTTTACTCCAATATTGCCCAGAGGATGGCAACAAATCAATGGTTTATGAAGTTCATTTAAGTAATAATACAACTTGAAATCCAGCTGTTTAATGTTGTGGTGGATGTGTGTGTGTGTGTGTGTGTGTGTGTGTGTGTGTGTGTCATTAGATTGTGAGTTCCTCCAGGGCAGGGACTGTCTTTTGTTTTCCTTTTTATCCCCAACACTTAACAAAATGTCTGGTACTTAGCAGGTGCATAATAAATACTTATTGATGCATGCCAGTCTTGGGGAGAGAAGAGGGGAGGGAGAGAGAAAAAAATTTGGGACTGAAAATCTTGTAAAAGTGAATGTTGAAAACTATCTTTGCATGTAATTAGAAAAAAATAAAATACTATTAAGTGGGAAAAATAAATAAATACTTATTGAATGATTGAATACTACTGTGCTACAAGAAATCATACAAGTGGATAGTTTCAGAGAAACCTGGGAATACTTGTATGAACTGATGCAGAGTGAAATGAATGGAACAAGAAAAGTCATTTATAATATAGCAAAAACATTGTAAAAACAAATAACTTTAAAAGACTTAAGAATTATGGTCAATGCAATGACCATCCACAATTCCAGAAAACCAACGATAAAGCATGTGACCCACCTCCTGACAGAGACGTGATGAATGTATGATTAAGACATATTCTTTTGGACATGGTTAATGCAGGAATTTGTCTTGCTTGACTGTGAAAACTGTTTTAAAGTTTTGTTTGTTTTTCCAAGGTGGAGGTGGGGGGATGGAAGGGGAGACAGGCAAGAGTAAAAACAGACTTTTATTCATTGAAAAAATTAAATTCAGATTTTTTTTGAAGGGGAGAATGTCTTTATTTTTAACTTTAGGAAGTTTTTTTATTATTAATTTATTTTGATTTATCAACAATCACTTCCATAAGTTTTGAGTTTTAAATTTTCTCCCCCTCCCTCCCCAAGACGGCTTGCAATCTGACATAGGCTATACATATACATTCCTATTAAACATATTTTCACATTAGTGATGTTGTAAGGAAGAATTAGAACCAACAGGAGGAACCATCAGAAAGAGGAAACAAAATACAACAGAAGAAAAAAAATAGCAAATAGTGTACTTCAGTCTGCATTCAAACTCCATAGTTCTTTCTTTGGATGTGGATAGCATTTTTCATCATGAGACCTTTGGAGATATCTTCGATCCTTGTATTGCTGAGAAGGGCTAAGTCTATCAACATTAGTCATCGTACAACGTGGCTGTGTATAATGTTCTCCTGGTTCTGCTCACTTCACTCAGCATCAGTCCATACAAGTCTTTCTAGGTTTTTCTGAAGTCTGCCTGCTCATCATTTCTTACAGCACAGTAGTATTCTATTACATTCATATACCACAACTTGTTCAGTCATTCCCCAATTGATGGGTATTCTCTCAGTTTCCAATTCTTTGCCACCACAAAAAGAGCTGCTGTAAATATTTTTGTACATGTGGGTCCTTTTCCCATTTGTATGATCTCTTTGGGATACAGTTCTAGAAGTGGTATTGCTGGGTCAAAGGGTATGCACATTTTTATAGCCCTTTGGGCATAGTTCTCTCCAAAATGGTTGGATCATTTCACAACTCCACCAACAATGCATTAATGTTCCAATTTTCTCACATATTATCCAACATTTATCATTTTCCTGTTCTGTCATGTTGGCCAATCTGATAGGTGTGATGTGGTATATCAGAGTTGTTTTGATTTGCATTTCTCTAATCAATAGTGATTTAGAGCATTTTTTTATATGACTATAGATGGTTTTAATTTTTTCATCTGAGAACTGCCTGTTCATATCCTTTGACCATTTATCAATTGGGGAATGACTTGTATTCCTATAAATTTGATTTATTCTCCATATATTTTAGAAATGAGGCCCTTATCAGAGACATCGGTTGTAAAAATTCTTTCCCACTTTTCTACTTTCCTTCTAATCTTGGTTGCATTGGCTTTATTTGTGCAAAAACTTTTCAATTTAATGTAATCAAAATTATCCATTTTGAATTTCATGATGTTCTCTATCTCCTGTTTGGTCATGAATTCTTCTGGTATGCAAGACACAGTAGTTAATGACTATAGTTATCCATTATTTGATAAACCCAAAGACCCCAGCGTCTGGGATAAGAACTCACTATTTCACAAAAACTTCTGGGAAAACTGGAAAAGAGTATGGCAGAAACAGGCATAGACCAAAATCTTACACCATATACCAAAATAAAGTCAAAATGGGTTCATGATTTAGATATAAAGGCTGCTACGATAAGCAAACTGGGAGAGCAAGGAATAGTTTACCTATCAGATTTATGGAGAACAGAAGAATTCATGACCAAACAGGAGACAGAACATTACGAAATGCAAAATTCAGATTTTAAAAAAGAAATACATAGGTTCTGATAACAGAATAGTGTACACTCATTATGTACAGTTTACAAAACATCTTTACATCAATTCTGTGAGGTGGGCTGGGCAAGAATTATTATCCTCTATTTAAAGATGAGTAAACTGAGGCTCAAAGACTTGCCCATAGTTGACTGGTCTTACATCTTCAGGTATAGTGCTCTGTCCATTACACCATGCTATCTTTTTAATACCACAAATATTCTAGTATAATGGAAAGAATGCTTCATTTGGAGTCAAGGGACCTGGATTTAAATATTGATTTTGCCATTTATTACCACTACGGACAAGCCCCTTGGACAAGATTCAAGGTCTTAGTTTCCTTAGCTTCAAAATGAGAAGACTGACCTAGATGAAGTCTAAGTTCCCGTTCAGCTATAAATCTACAATTCTAAGTAGGGCTGTTGTCTTCTAATCCTGGAATTACCCGGTTTGGAGGAGAAAGGATGGAAGAAGGCTACAACGCAGAAAGAAAGGTAACACATAAATGAAGTTCATGGGGAGAAGGGCGTATTCACAGCATTCCTTACAAAACAGATAAGAACAAACAAACAATTGCCTATATCTCATTTCTGTTATTCATCCCTCGTTTTAGAAGGGGACCAATGACATCACGATATCAGGGTACAATGTGTCTGGTTGTAGTTGATCTGTCCAATGAAGATTTGGAAGGCTCTACCACAGGTCGAGCACAAATAGTCCCTTAGAACATTTGGGTCAGAGACCTTTTTCAGAGCAGACCTTGAGAGCGTCCCTGTAGCACCTCTGACAACCGTGTGAGTGCTTAGAAACAATGTGGAACAGTCATTAGAGAGCTGACCTCTAAGTCAGAAAGACCTGGGTTCAAGTCCTCTCTCTGCCACATACTGGCTGTATGATCCTAGGCAAGTCACAACTCTCTAACACACGAATCTGCAGAGAAAGTACAGAGCAGCTGCCTTGGCAGAGGAGGCTCCCCACTGGGGACTCCCTAAACTGATGAAATCACTGGTATGGGCCCAAAAAAAAGAGAGAGAGAAAATATCTTACCTATTCCACCCCAGAAGACATCTCATTTTCATTTTACAGATGAGGAAACTAAGGCTCAGAGAAATTGATAATCACAAATGACTGTTGAATGACTGAGATTAAAAAAAAGAAATGGTTCTAATAATAGCCCTGAACCCCAAGTTCCTCTACAGCTTTCTGGGTCTTAAAATGGGTGAAGTGGGAAATAGGGGGAAGGATCCAGCAGTAGAGGGACAGGAAGGAAGTCAGGCAGTTCTGATGTCCCCCATAACGATAGTAAGAGAAAGAAGGCATTAGGAGAAGAAGGCAGCAGTGGCGAGAGAGCGAGCCCAGGAATTAGGGGATCTTTAACCATGAAGGAAGTCTCTGGGGGCAAGTTGAGGGGCAGCAGCAGATGCCACATCTGTTTCTTTGTAGGCTGAGTGTTTGTTAAATGAACAATGTCTGAATCCTACTAGTAGTCTCTACTAGTAGATGGTAAATTTGAGAGAAATTACTTCATCAGCTCCCCACAAGCACAGAATGGCACTTTGTTCATAGCAGGTGCTCAGTAAATACAGTTGTTGAAAATGATCTTTTGAATTGGTGCCATGGACTACCTAGAGCATACCACCTCAACCTCAGCCTCAGCACCAGGCTCTTTTTAATTAGGCTTCAGTGTTTTTACTATGAATAATACATCTATATAGAGGCTCTGCTATCAGCCCTTCCCACTGCTTGTGAAAGCTAGCTCTCTATGGACATTCTAGGCTAGAAAACTTTATTCTGATTTCAACTTCACCTCCAACTGATGTTTCAGTCTATAGAAAGAGGTTCTCAAATGGCCTACATTGAACCAAACTGTTCATCTATTAGGAGAGGTTGAATTTCCTAACATGTTCTGGAGCAAGCCGGATGAGCTGACTATGTAACACACAGCTTAGATTCACCAGAGAAGTAACATCCTTCAGCATTACCCCATGATTTCCCATGCTGTCCTGCCCTTGTCAGGCTTGTCTGTAGGAAACAGGAACTATCTTTTCTTCCATGGCCAATATAAGAAATACATGGTTGAAAAATAGAACTGGACACTTCAAGTCAACTCTCCAAGCAT